CAGTGCTAGGACAGGCTATTGTGGCTATAGGCTGGTTGGTGCAGGCAAACGCGGCGAAAGTGTCCTTCAAGCTTTTTTTTGCTGCTGCTGTTGTGGCTGCCACTCAACCGGCCGGTCGCTCCCCGGTTACTTTAAGTGTGTGCTAAGTGCGCGCTTAAAGGAATTTCCATGTGTCTGCGACTGCATATGGGGTGTACGAAGAAAATTATATATTACGCGCTTGTTCGCTGTAAAATGATCGCGTCGAGCCGTTAAAACCTCGTCACTCGCCCGAAGCGCACGCAACCTGATAGCTTCTATTTGCTGATAGCTGGCTATAATTGCATTCTGAACGGTTTGCGCAAATTTTGATGCAAAGGACAGGTGAAAATATTTAGTTTAACAAAATTCTGAAAGTCATAATGTAAGATTAGTCTTCACCGTGAAATACTTTCAAATACGCGTAATTAGTAGTAAAGAACATCGCAAAAAAAATGTAGGAAAAAGGTTTTTTTCTTAACAGCGGTCGCCCATCGGCAGGCAATGGCAAACCTCCGAGTGTATTTCTGCCATGAAAAACAGCTTCTCATAAAAATACAATCGCCTCCCCTTTGTGTGACAGCTTCAAAGCGCACGCCAGAAATTGGAGGAGAAGCTCGGCTAAATACTAACATAAGCATGTGTAAGCGCCAATCTGTTATTTATATTATTAGCAGGAAGAAATCCAAAATTTGGGGTCAAGTTCGGCTTACTACCTCTCTACAGAAGTCCTTAAACAAACTACTTACATGCAATCAGAGTTTCTTAAAAAGATGTTCCGCTGGCCTGGGATGGTCTACCCGATGTTGAATCCGAGAGCGCTTGCGCGAACCTAAATTCCACAAGGTAATATTAGGCGAGGTGTGTATGACAGAGAAACATCGTGTTTCCAAAATGAGGCTTCCGCCCAGAAATCCAGTTAAGGCCTATGGGGGTATTATTTCCATGCAGGTTAACATCTAAACTGATGGTCCGGAAGAAATTAGACCACTACTCTCACTGGCGACAATCAGCTGCTTGAAAATATAATAAAGTTCCACCAGCGTCAGTTTGCCGGTGGCCAGTAAAAAGTGATACCCCAGGTGTTTGAACCGTAAATGCAAGCTGAGCAGCTAAGTAGAAGGTAGAAGATGTCGAGATGACTTCACTTCATCATACAGCTGCTATACTAGGGATGGATTCCGATTGAACAATGACCAGTTTTAACTCCCACCGATAGCGAGAGATATGACTTGTTCAATTTTAAGAGCTTCCTATACCACTGCCGATATACCCGTTCTATAGCGAGAAGGCCTTAGCCACTAAGGGTTTCGCACGCACAGCATTAGCTAAGCTGACTGAAAGCACATCTGTCCAGAGGAACACTACATTTGGCCAGCGGAGCCTCTACCCTCATCCTACTCGGAAAAAGTTCCACCAGAGTATCCCTGTCATTGCAAACTCATTATCCATGAAATTATTTGCCATATCGCTCCGGCCAAGTAGGCCACTGATGAAGTCTCATTCGACTGCGAGATAATTCAGACATTCCTTAACCGGTTTCGAACGCACATATCATCAAGGGCCTAGGGGTCCTGATTACCGCCTAGTTAAGATGCTATATGGTTCCGTCCTTATACTTTAATGCTCACCTAACTCGTTCCCTTTATTACGGTAACCTCAGCTTGGAAAACACTGCAATGTTCCGGCAGCTTAAACTTGAAGATCATGGGGAATATTCGAAAACGACAACTTCCTCTATCTTTCCATCCATCTTCGATCCATCTGCGAATGAATTGACAGCGCCATTTTTCCAGATAATATACGTCAAAAGGTCAAAATGTGGAGAAGACAAGCAGATGGTCAGAATTTCAAAAAATGTGCTTGGGGGTGTTGGGTTTGAACCCGGAAACCACCTTCGTAAATCCAGCTTACTGAAAAGTTTACAGTAGACTTATAACAGACGTTTGTAGACAGGAGCAATGTTGCATTTTAAGTTAAAATACTGGATATTAAAAATTTCGCTCACTTTCATTCATTTCATCGCCAATATACTAAACTGTAGAGAAATCAACAGAAGTAAGGAAGCGGACAGTAATGGAACAGGCAATCCAACTTTATCTTGGAACCTTGCGTTTAACGAGGTTTTCCAGCTCATCCCTCTAGGCTTACTGTCATTATTGTAAAATCAATTATTCCACTTTGAGGTTCGAAATATGAATTCGTTCATACCCGCTGACAGGTTATATCACTCTTAAGCACAACAATGCCACTTCTATTAATTTCGGATTACTCCAAACCGTCAAAACGTCAAGCGCGCAGCAATTTAGTTGGCGCACTTGGCAGGCACTTCGCGCCTCAGTGCATCGTTTTGCAATGCAATTATATGAATATTATTATAATGAGAACTAATTCAATTAGATTGTGTTGTTTTTGCCAATTCGACGTAGCGTGGCAATCAAATACATGAATATCTACATACATACATGCATGTGCACTAGTCGATGCCACAGTTGCATTGCCTCATTCACCTCGATTCGCTGCACTCCCATAAGCGCCTGAGCTGCTGTGTAGGCCAATTCGTGGGCAGCAGCTGGCAATTAAGTTGCGCTTAAGCTGACAGCGTTATGTGGCTCATTAGCAAAGCAAACAGAGAGCAACAAAAGCTGAAAATTAGCAATACAATTTTACTTTTCATGCTGCCATCGCGGAGCAAAATCAAAATAAAAGAGGTATTCTAAAAATTTTGCTGCTTTGGTTGCCATTCCGTTGGTGCAATGAATTGCGAGCACTTTGTTGGCATCGAATTGGTTCTTTGACTCTTGAATCTATACATACGTACACACACACACACAGATAAATGCATTTTAACGATTCCATCGCTCACTTATGAAGCTTTTGTCCGGTGCTTAACTTTTATTACACAATTTTCATAATCTCCACGTTCGCACATAATTTACACCCGAATAAAGTTCGCGTCGCGCCTTTATTTATTATTGGCAATTAAAGTTGGCACAACGCAACGCGCAACGCGCAACTTATGCGACGACTCTGCCCTGCATACATACATATGTACATATGAAACGAGACAGTGACCACCAAACCGCTAGCCACTAGCCACTAGCTACTGGTCACTGACCACCGGTCGCCACAGCCAGTTGTTGTTGGCCAAACATGCAAGTGCAGCTCAAAACAAAGCGAGCCGTCAACCCCAATTGAGCCGTTAAGCGAATTGCTGAATGCCGTCCGTGGTGACTCTAAGCATGTTGTTGTTGTTGGCTTTGGCAGTAGTGACTGCACTATTATCGTAAATCCATCAGCGACCAAATTTGTGACAGGCTTTGACAAATTTTTAAGGCCCTCAAAGGAAAAATGCCGCCAAAAGGCAACTGTGCAACGGTTGAGTTGTTGCTTTTTGCTTTGGCAGGGTTGCCAATAGGACAATGGTTGGTTTACTGTTGCCTCATATGTATATGTAATGAAAGTATAAGTAAATATTTGTGAAAATGTATGCTTGCGCTCAAATGCCGATGAGGAAGTCGTAAATTCAATATATATTTTGCTTTGAGTAGGGCAAACGACGGCAAGGACCTAAAAACAATTGCTCAGTGGTCTGCAGAATTGCTCAGTTATGTATGTGGAACCCAGCAGAGAAAACCATCTAGTTCTGAACTGAACCAGCTAAAAATTTTACTTTCAATTGAACTGGTATTTTCAGCTTGGATATGGCTTACGAATTGCATCTGCCAGTTAATGCATAAGTCAGCGTCGGCATCGGCACCATAATTCTACAAGTTACAAAAACTTTCGCCTTGTGGGTAAACTTAGGCTATTTTGTCGATCACAGCCATGTGCAGTTCCACAAGTTTACTATCGAAAGAGGCAATTTACGTAATCCGATAACTACCGGCTTTTGAGCATAGTGAGGGTGGATTTCGGTTGAACTGCTTCACTTGTGGCACTACTTTTGACAATGCAGGTTGGACCGAGTTCTATAGCTACTTAGTGATTACTTATTTTTCATTGTTTTCGTCTATGATGCCTGTGATATTCCGATCTTTTGCTATCGCTGCAAAGGTTCGAGTTCCGACTCCGTGCGCTTTGTCATCGATGTTACTGAAGCTTTGTTCAATGCTTGTGGGGCTTTAACGACCTGCACCTTCCCGAACCTATTCTGTGACTAAATCTAAACTAATTGAACTCATCCATAAAATGTACTTCTGCACATGTACTAGACCCTTCTAATCCCCCTGATCGGTGAGATGACGATCGGTGCCTTGGAGTGGTTTGATAGCTTTAGGCAGTTGCGCTCTGATGAAGCTCTTGGACCAACTGCAGGTAATCAAGTTGATTCGGTGCCCATCCACAGCAATATAAACATACGCTATACGCTGGATGGTGGGCTACTGAAGACACAGGAAGCTCAGTACTTTCCCTGCAGACCCCTCGGTTTGTTGCATTTCTGTGTGGGAAACTATTCTTTGGTTTTGTCCTTCCAGGGTGCTATGATATTATTGCGTGTAAATGGGGTTGCCAACTGCTATGTGCCATAATTTAAGGCTATATGTATGTATCTTACGAGATCTGGGCGTAGCGTATACCATAGTTGGCCTTAGGAGTGGCGTAGAAAGAAAGTCAACCGACAGATATGAATCCCTATCCGAAGCATTCGGTTCGTTACTGGATTTTTGTACGGTCCCAAGCCAAGTTTATCCTCGGCACGGGCTCTAAAATAAGTGAGGTGAAAGGTTTGTGTCTTAAGGTAAGCTTGCGAAAAGCTTTTCTTAAAGTATTTATCAGAAAGTAAGCCATTGTTAGCTAATGTCTCTTGGTGCGAACTTCTTCAATATTTTGATGAACCTAATTTTGCCATTACGAACCATAGAATATTTGGTCTAATTTCCCTTCTCGATTTCATAGTTTATTCTATCAGTCAAGTAAAAAATAGAACACAGGCCTCACTGATGTTGCACTCGAAATTTCTTCCTTCCGATGAGTAGCTTCGGAATGTGTTCTAAAAGAAATTAGCCCCTTGGGCGTTGTGCCTTGAAAAGCTATTGATAAACAAACGGCAGCGTTGATCCGGATTAACTCGGACTTAATCCGGATCAACTGCAGTTAATTCCCGATTTTATTCGGATCAACGCTGCCGTCTGTGTATGCCTTTACTTAAGATACAAACGGCGATAGCTGAGCCCTTAATCTCTATTGTAAGTACATATTCTTTGAATCAAGCTCTTCATCGTTGTAGGCAATTGGTTCATCGCGATCTGTAGCTGAGTATCTCGATAGACGTTTGTAAAAAAAACATGAACAAATTACTGGGATATTCATTGAGAGGTGCGCATAAATATATACATTTGTATGTTTTTTTTGCTTATATTTTATTGCAACTACTTCTTAGTTATTTAGAAATAAATTATTTAGTTAAAAATGTAAAATATACTACTGTTTTTTATTCTCACTGACACATTTCTTTCTTTCAGTACCTCTCAGCTGGCGGTGCGCTCTCAACTCTACATCCCATATCGCAATCGCCCATTGCTGCTACAACACCCGCTCACCCGCCCGCCTCGATCAGTCCACCATCCAATGGACACGACAGCAATGTTAGTAGCACCGGTGGCGGTGATCATAATAGCGGTACATTAACACCAGATCCAGCTTCACAGCCCTCCAACCATGACAGACCTTGTGCGGCCGGTAGTAGCGGCAGCGCTAGTGGCAGCATCGACAGTGGTTCCCTCGAGCCGTATGCCACATGTCCAACGGCCGGTACAATGGCGAGCATACCACAACCGCAACAACACCCGCTTGCCTCGACTGCAGTTTGCTGTGATAATGGACGACCTGTAATGACAGATCCGATGACGGGGCAAACGGTTTGTTCGTGTCAATATGATCCAACCCGTTTGGCGTTAAGTAGTTATGCGCGTATGCAATCGGCGGCAGCAGTGGCAGCATCAGCAGCGGGTGCTCAAACGCCCACTGTCGGCGTATACGGTACTCCATATCCATCGAACGAACAGAACCCGTATCCCAGTATTAGTGTGGACAGTGGACCGTTTTACTCGAGTTTGGTAAGCTACTTGTAAAGATACATAGTTAATTTTTCTTTGTAGGTAAACAAAGTATGCTTATATGAAGAATTCCTGTAATACGCTACAAGTTAGACGCTGAGCTGTGACTGCTGTTGTTCTAGAGACCCAACACCCCGCCACTTAGGCCAACATTAGTTCTACGATCATGTAGTGTACATCCTTCTCAGTTTGTTTTTTACACCACGCCGATTCGCCCGCGAGATGTTTGCACGCCTTAAGTGTTTTCAAAGATCTGGTTGTGGCTGTGCATACAACAGTTTCCATAGAAGTTGTCCGTAGCATCCAGTATCAATCCCTTCGATTCTCTGGCATCATTGACTACAGTCCCATTCAGAGTTATGTTCCTCATACGCGGAACCAGTTATGACTATCTCACCTATATGAACCTAGCAGCAGATTCCACTGTCTGTAAGCACTTGCACTCGTTCGTCAACTATTAGGAAATGCCCCGGCTTACGGGCACCCCTTCTTTGTTTTCAATTGTACCACTCAGCCGCCTATTTCGGCTTCAGCAATTTTAGTCTAAAATAGGATAGTCAGTTGGACACTTCTGCTCTCTAATGCCTGACGGTCGTCTATATGTGAAGTGTTTTCGAGGGCTCCCCCTAGGTCGACGAATGCCTAAAGCACCGATTCTCCAATTTCGAAAGCACTCTGGACTTTATTAGTCAAACGGTTGCTGATATGAAACTTAAAGCCTTGTGATGAAGAACCGTAATCATTTGGTCTTTAAACACTTATGAATAGCTGTATTCTTTTTGTATATTTGCGCTCTTTTCCAGGCCGAGATTATGTTCATACATACATATATACCATATATGTATATAAGTTCCACGTGCACACGTATGTATGTACATATATTGACCATCGGAATACATATATATGTATGTATGTATGTATGTATGTTGGAATAAATTCACTTCCGCTCTTTTCAGATCTGCTATTTACATGCGGTTTGTTGTCTATTTCTTGCTTTATTGCATTTGTTTTTATTTTCGCTTTCGAATTTGTTTTCCATATTTGTCGTTTCGTTTATAGACATGTAAGTATTTTGTGTACATTTGTTTTTGTTACTTTGCGGGCATTTGTGGCTAATTCTGGCGCACACCATCACCCCTCAACAACAACAACAACAACAACAGACGCCTTGCTATGCCAACGCCAACGCCAACGCCATTGTCCACACAGTCACATTCTGGGGCAAATGTCTGCAGAGCCAGCGAAATGTCACTGTCATTTTGTTTGTTCGTATTTGCTTTTGTTTTTATTATGGGGTCCCTACATAGTTTGCATGTTGTTGTTGTTGTTGTTTGTTTTGCTGCGCTTTTGCTTAATATAATCGCACATTTTACTCACACTACTTGAATGTTTGTGTACACATCTCTATATATATGTATGTCAGTATGTACATATATATGTATTTATGCTGTATGTCTGCGCGGTTTATTGTTGGTGTACTTTTCTTGTTCGACTGCGGTTTGCGGATTTGCATTTCGCATTTCGCATTTTCCATTTCCACTAATTTTGCTTTGTTTGGATTTTCCTCGTTCGCTCGACTTTGCTTTGCATTAGGAATAAATAGCATTTGTTGCAAGTTGAAGGTTTATGCTTCACGGAGCTTTTATGCCATTGACGTTGTTATTACGGCTTTCATTATTACCATTATTGTTCACTGTTGTTTTTATTACACTTTTGTTTGATTGTTGTTGCATCTAAACGAGTTGTGAGTAGCGTTGCAACTTCTTTTCCTACTGTAAATACATATACCATGCAGGAAAAATCTGAACTGCAAAGCGAACTCTTTATTCAGAATTGGTTGTAACGACTTCAAATATGAACTAGTCTTACAGTAAGTTGGCTGTAGCTGGTTGAAGGGATGAAATCAGGGCACTCTTCTTATTCGTATACACTACTATTGCCGTTGTTTTTATTATCGTCATTTATAACGGAGTTATTGTTATCAGTTTCGTTACATTCATCGTTAACGTTATCGTTATTCATTATTATCGTTAATGGTATCGTTAAGTTATCATTATTATCATCGGTACCTTTATCGCTATCGGTACTATTAAAATCGATAACCTCACACACATCGTTATCGTTATCGTATTCACATTGTCAAATTTAGGTTACCAGCTTTTAAAAACTTAACACTAATTTCAAATCTTAATAGCAAAGCAAACTTTGTGTCCTTTCAAAACGAAAGATCTCGCCTCCGATCGCTTGAACTCAATCCAAAGTGACGAGAAAAACTCAGCGCTACTGGCCCCAGTGCTTCTCACTACCGCGCATGCATTCCACCTTTTTTTGCATTGCAGCAGCAAGCATTGTGTGTGTCTTCCAGCGCATTGCAGCGTTGCTCAGCTTTGACGATTATTGTTATTGTTTAGTGTAGTGTTGTGTTGCTGTTTTAATTGTTATTCTTTTGCCGGTATTATTTACACATAAAAGTCTTATGTGTATACATATTTAGTAGATACTTTTTCCGCCTCTGCTTCGGATGCGTCTGCTGCATCTGCTGTTTTTTTACGCTTCTCAGGTTTCCACTCATCGCTGAACCGCATGAAGCCGAATGAGTAGCTGAGCTTCGATGCCTATCAACTGGCTTCCACCCTCTGTTGGCACTTTTCTAACTAGTACATTTGTATGTACGTACCAATGCATAATATTTATGCATCTCGACTTGTTCACATTTTTGTATGTATGTATGTATGTATGTCTATTTGTGTGTATTGTCTTTTCTGATGGCCGTCCGTCCGTCTGTCGGGTTAATGTGCTCATGTTATGACAACAATTATTGTAAATGTCACAAATTAGTTTTGCAATTAGTTTTGCATATATTGGCGTTGTTGTTGTTGTTGTTGTTGGCTTTATTGTTAATTACGCCATTGTTTTTGTAATGTAACATGATTCCACACATTTTGTTGTGGTTTTGTTTTAAGTTTGTCTCGAGATTATTTCTTTAAGCTTGCTTATAAAATTAAACTCACATTTATACACATACGTATCTACTTATCCATACTCATTTGTATTTGTGTATCTGCGTAATCTGTAGGTAATCAACGTAACTGATTATGATTATGTGGGGCTTTCTTCAATGATCATGCGATTTTTAGCGGTTGAGCAATAGAACTTAATACTGGTACATATATATGCTTAAAGGCTTTCATTAGATTATTTGTGGACACTATGAATAATATTTACACAAATAAATGTTTTTGCTACACGACAATTTGCAGCACATTAGGCTAGGACCTATAGCGTCTTCGTTTCAACCGAAAAATTTTACCTTCTCATTGCCATCGAAGCACAAACACTAAGAACCGGGCAATGAAAAGACAAAATTTTTTGTGGAAACGAGAATGCCATTTGCTATCCGTTGTGATACCCTTAATAGGGGAGAGCGAAAAGGGACGCAGGGAGTCCGGAAGATGAAGGGAGGGTAGGGGAAGGGTAAGGAAGATTGACAACACCTATTGCTACTTGCAACATAAACGCTCCCTGGTCGGAACGAAGGTCTTCAAGCGACTGTTGTCCATCCCTAAAGTGCATAAACCTTAGCTTCGCAAAGGCAGGCCACCAGAGCTGCAGGTGTTGAGATGATTCCCCCTCATCAGCCTCCATGCAGCGTTTCCTATCCTGTGTTCCCACTGATTTTTTATCTAATCGGGTTTCCCAACACAAATAGCAATAAAAAGGCATGAAAGTCCAAGAGCTCCATCTCTGCTATCTTTAACAGGCTAACTCTAAGGTTTTGAGCCGCTCCATTTGCAGCCTCGGACATTGACACAGAGAGTAGGCCATTGCTTTTTCTTTGCCCTCATCGGGGCAGCTTCGACAGATAAAGTTCTTTGGTACTCAGTTCCATTCCACTCACTTAGACCTTACTGGTCCTCAGCGCTACTATAACTGGGTTCGAGTCGTGGAAAGCGTGACGTGCAGATGGCCTTGTGGATGCTATCACGGCAATGCATTTCTATACAAACCCCAAATTTCATCACATTGGATCCTATTTCCCACTTAGGTATCCACGCTGATATTGTTTTTTTTCGATTAAGACTGCGATTAGACTAAGCTAAGCGAAGAGGAAACCGCCAAAACGATGAGCTCTATTTCGCTGGGGTTTACACATGCTAGGGTTAAAAAATGGTAAAAGAAATGCTGAGAAAAAAAGGATTTTGTTCGAAAAATATTGATTTTGAAAAATTCTATACGATTACCAAGAAAAATGCGATTCTTCCTCATACACAACTTTAAGCGACCACTAAATATTTTTTTCATATCAAAAAAGGTATACTCCTTTTCGGTATGGAACAATTCAAGGCGAATTCATACAAGGTGATAGCCAATAGTACAAAAACAAAATATTTAGTATTTTGTTTTTGCTTTTGATGGGTGTGCTGTCAAATCAAAAAACCCGAGACGAAATACATTTAAGGCAATGAAATTAGCTGATCTAGCAAGACCAACGTGTATGAATTCGCCTTGGAACAATACTAAGGGGCGGGAGTACTAAAATTCCGACTTGACTTTTCATTAACAAAACATGCCCTCGCGTATTATATGTATATACATAATTTTTAAATAGGTGGCAACCCCACTCAAACAAAAAATAAAAACTTATCATTTCACTTGGTACCTCAGCTTTTAGTCCAGCAAACGGTGAAAATCTTATAATTTTTAAAAGCAACCCTACTTAAAAAATAATACTTTATTGAACATCTAAAAGTCGAGCCCTTTTATCTGACACCTCATATCTTGTAATCCAATGAACAGTGCGGATCTAATAATTTTTTAGACAGGTGGCAACCCTATATGAATTCAAAGTACTAAAGGTAATATTCCTATCGACACAAATTATATTTAAAAAATCTCGTATAAATCCGTTCAGTAGTTTTTTAGACTAGCGTGGTTAAAATATCTCGACTTTCCTTTATACTATGTATAGAAGCAGGTAATTTTTAAATAGGTGGCAACCC